GAAGATCCAACATCTCTCTTGGTTCATTTTTCTGATGTAATGGCATCATATACTTCCACTCATTTGATGTATATTCCACTTGCCTCTTATAGGAGTTCTTTGAGGATGTCAGACCACTATTAAGCATGCAGTTGGTAGGGCAAACACTGGAAGGTTTGTTTCAGGTGTTTGACTCGTATGTGAACATGCTCATAAAAGCTTTACCTGGTTCAATTGATGAAGAAACAGACTTTGGGGGTACTGGAAATAAAATTGTGCGAATGGCTGAGAATGAGGCCCAACAAATTACATTGCTAGCAAATGCATCATTGTTGGCAGATGAACTTCTTCCACGTGCAACCTTGAAGCTATCCCCAAGTCAGGCTAGCTACAAGGACAGTTTTGGAATGACTTAGATATTAAATTGAAATCATGAGAGAGAGTGTCAGAGATAGAGTGGGTGAGTGAGAGAGGGTCATTGCTGGTCAGTCATTTGGTGAGGATTGGACGGTTTTTGTGGACAATCTGAGTAAAAGGGTAACATGGAGAACAATAAAGGAAATATTTCAACAGCAGGGAAGTGTTTATCGTGTCTTTATTCCGAGCAGTTCTAACAAGCCAAATTATAGAAACCATACTTTTGCTTTCGTCCAATTTACAAAGGAGGAAGGGTTGAAGAATGCAATAGCAAATGTCAGTGGTATATGGTTAGATGGTAAGAAAATCTCGGTAGGAGTAGCTAAGTATCAGAAGCTGAAACTTAGGCAAGCTGTTAGGAGCAATGTCAGAAGGGATGAAGACAATTTGATTAAGGGAGGGTATCGGAGTAGAAGAGTTGGACCTGAGTATTTCAGTCGGTTGAGAGACGAGAGATCGTATAAGGATGCGGTAGTATCTTTTGATGGGCAGAATGAAGGTCTGGCGTGTAAAGAGATTCGGGAGGGTCCTCCAGGCAAGAACGCAGGGTTGAGGAATCTGTGGGAGATGCATATTCTAACAGATGAATATGACTTGGAGAAAAGATCATTAACTGTGATTATCAAATCTCATTTAGATTTGGAAATAGTAGTGAAGGGGCTGGCTAGCGATGTGATCAAGGTCAAGGGAGCTAAATGGGGTTATGCATGGAATTCATGTATATTAACTTTTGGTTCGATGGAAGAGTTCGAGGAGGTGTGGTCGAGCAGACGAGAGAAAGTTGTCTTCTGGTTTGATTGGCTGGATCCACTTATGAGTGGTGAAGGTGTCCCAATGGCATTTTGTTCGGTGGAATTGTTTGGAATACCCTTGCTATGCTGGAATGCTTTTTTTATGGAAAAGATGGTATCAAGATGGGGAAAGCTGGTGTGTATTCACGAGTCGACGGCCAGAAGAGAAGATTTGGCGGTGGCTCGGGTTTTGCTAAGGGTAGCCAATCCTTTTGACATCCAGGAAACTTTTACATTGGGTTCATATGGGAGATCCTTTAAGGTAAAAATTAATGTGGGTTCGGTCTATACAAAACTGGAAAGCTCGCCAGTAGTAAACTTTACGGTGGCCGGAGATGGTGAATCTAGAGATGAAGCTTCATTAGAGGAGAAAGAAGAAAGGTTTTCTGATGGGGTAAGTAGTCAAAAATTGTGTGCTGAGGACTCTAGGGACACAGTAGACAGGTGGTTGGTAGAGGAAAACTGCACAACAATGGCAGGCGGTAGTGGAAGTCAGCATTTAATGTTGCAGGATGGAGAAGGTCAAACTAATGGTTTAAAGATGTCAGATTTTTCAGAAGAAGATTTGAATTTTAAAGGGGATTATCGGGGCCTTGGTTTAAGGAATGCTCCTTTAAATGATAGTGATAAAGCCCAGTTAGAGGACTTGAGTAAGCCCAACTCAAACAACTCTAGATTTTCTCCTTCTGGGCCAGTTATAAATTTAACTAATTTGGGTTATGGAAACCATAAGGAGTCCCGGGTGAAAGCTTTAGGAGAATAACATCAATCTGGTTCGATTGAATAATTTATACAGAATGAGGTTTCTGTTACGCTAGAATTAATTTCACTTCCCATTCATGGTGAGGCTAAGGACAGTAGGACTTCACAAAGCTCAAAAGAGGAAGGGTTCAAGGAAGTAATAGCTCAGGATAAGGAAGTTAGTAGTGCAGAAGGTTCAGAGGTGTCAAAGGAAGAAAGGACAATTCATATGGGTAGTAACCAGGGGATTGGAATCACCAAAAAGTCTTCTGTACATGGTTTAAGGAGTTGGTGTCCTCTAGGTCATTTGTCTAATAGTCTGCATATAAGAAATACATCGATTAGAAGGTGGAATTCTGGCTCGTTTTCTAGAGTGTATCGAAGATCTAGAGAAAGAAAGGTATGGTTTAATCCGAGTAGAGAAGAAAGAGCAATACATTCATTGGAACCTATTGATCATAACATGAATATTTCCGTTTCTATGATGTGTAATCATTCCCTTCCTGCTATTTTGGAGGGAAGATCTATGGGGGTCGAGGAGGAAGGAGGCTTTAGTCACATTTCTGCAGGTGATCATTTACAGTCTTCTAGGAGTGCAAAAGGTGCTGCAACTGTTTGTCAATATGGTTCAGTGGCTAGGAATGAGAATAGAAGAAAGAGAAGGCTTTTGATAAGGGAAGCTCTGGATGTGGTCAGTCGACTTACTGTATCTTCTACAAATTTCTCGGTATTTTTAGAGGAGGCTTTGGCTACATGGAAAGTTAGTAAAATTTTGGGGATTTCATTCAAAGAGAGTAAGAAGGCATTCTTGGAGAAAATTATAAATTATGAGGAGGTTTTGGATGTTAGTAAGGGAGGGTTGAATCCGGGAGAGTAGATTTTTGGTTGATTTTCTACATCGGGGCTTTGGTTTTATATCAATATTTATGATAAAGACTAAGATTATTTCATGGAATGTCAGGGGTATTGGTAAAAAGGAAAAATCGAGAGATATTGCTAATATGGTTAAGAGACTCAAACCGTGCTTACTTCTCATTCAAGAAACAAAATTAGAATTTTGTTCCTAGTCTCTAAGGAGAAGGATAGGTGAAAATACTCTAAATGGAGGATCTTTCACCCCAGCAGTGGGATCCGCAGGTGGTCTTATGGTTTTGTGGAATGATAAGGAATTTGAAGTTTCCAATAGCCATTTAAGTGGTAGATTCATTGCAGTTTATGGGAAATTTAAGAACTCTAGAGAAGAGTGTGATTATTAATGTGTATGGTCCTTCCATTGATTCTGAGAAGGCTGAATTCTTCAGGGAGTTGCTGGATTTTTTTGCTGCTCAAACCGTGTCAGTCTGTATTGGGGGTGATCTTAATGTGTACCTTAACCCGGCAGAGATATTGGAAAAGTCCCAAAACTGGCTCTCCATTGATATTCTTAGAATTTCTTGAACCAATCTAACTTAATTGATATTCCTTTAGCTGGGGGAAGGTTTACATGGTGTAACAATAGAGAAGCTTCTACTTGGGTCAGACTAGATAGGTTTCTATTTTTTGGGAGTTTTCTGGTTTGTTTTCCGAATATCGTCCAAAGCCTATTACCTAGATCGCTTTTTGACCATAATCCTATTTTTTTAGAGGAAAATATTTGGATTGGGGTCCTAAACCGTTTAGATTTTTTAATTACCAGTTAGAATATGAAGGTTTTAAGGGCTTGGTTAAATCGTCCTTGGATAATTAGAGGGTGAGCAGGAAGAGAAGGGGTATTTTCAACTTTTTACAAGGAGCTAAAAATTCAATTAGAATATGGTCTGGAAGAAAATTCCATAGGATTTCTAGGTCTAGTACTGATTTGGAATTGAAGATTAATGATCTTGAAGTTAAAGCACAAGGTGGTGTTATCTCCCAACAGGAGTGGGATCAGTTGATGCAGTCCAGAACGGTTCTTTAAAGGCTGTATCGGACTGAAGAAAGTATTTGGTTTCAGAAATCAAGGGAAAAATGGATTAAAGATGGGGACAAAAATACAAAATTTTTCCATCTGTCTGCGCTCAATAGAAGTAAAAGGAATGAAATCACAAGCTTGAAGATTAATGGCTCAATTGTTTCAGACCGCAATCGATCAAGTCTCATATTGTGGATTTTTTTAAGAAAGCTTATAATTCTAAGTTCACTATGGAAGTTGATGATTTATCACTGGATTTCGCAAAGCTTACAGGGGTTCAATCCTCAAAGTTAGAGGAGCAGTTCTTAGAATAGGAAATATGCCAAGCGGTAGCTACCTCGGGCAGTTCTAAAGAACCAGGACCAAATGGCTTCACCATGGGATTTTTCAAGAAGTTTTGGCCTAACCTGAAGGAACATGTTGTGAAATTTTTTCTAGAATTCTTCTTAGGCAAGAAATGGGACCATGGGATCAATCATGCGTTTATTACGCTTATTCCGAAGAAGATACAGCCGGTTAATGTAGAGGACTTTAGACCTATTAGTCTAGTAGGCAACCTCTATAAGATTCTCTCTAAAGTTCTATCTAAGAGGTTGAGTTGCTGTGTTGGAGATATTATTAGTCAGTCACAGTTTGCTTTTATCCCGGGGAGACAGTTGTTGGACTGCGCCTTCATAGCGAATGAAGGTATTGACTATTAGAGAAAGAAAGGGCTGCAAGGGGTTATTTTTAAAGTTGATTTTCGTAGAGCATATGACTATGTGGAATGGCCAATATTATTTAGAGCAATGTTAGAGATGGGTTTTGGAAGTAGATGGTGCTCGTGGATTTCTCAGTGCCTTTCAACAGCCTCGATATCGATTCTTGTTAATGGGTCTCATTCAGAAGAGTTCCCTATAGACAAGGGGCTAAGACAAGGTTGCAGTCTTTCCCCACTCCTGTTTAACATTGTTGGAGAGTTACTACATTTAATGCTCTCTAAAGCAGTTGATAAGGGTTTATTTCAAGGCTTTGTTATTGGGAAACCTGAAAATTCTACTAGATTGTATCATCTTCAGTTTGCAGATGATTTAATCATATTTTGCCAATCCTCTCTTTCTTAGATCAAGAATGTTAAAAGAGTGTTGAGAATTTTTAGTATGATGGCGGGTCTGCATCTTAATTTGGCGAAGAGCAAGCTACTGGGAATTAATATGGAAGAGGAAGATTTAATAGATTGGGCATCACAAATTGGCTGTTCAGTATGTTCTTTTCTAACAGAATATTTGGGACTTCCATTGGGAGCTAAGAAAAACTCGGAGACTTTATGGGATCCAGTTTTTCGAAATCTAAGTGCCAAGCTTGCTGGGTGGAAAGCTACATGTTTGTCATTGGCTGGTAGGACAGTCTTATTGAAATCGGTGCTAACTTCTTTACCAATTTTTTTTTATCATTGTTCAGAATGCCTAACAAAATCGGTAAGAAGTTAAATTCGTTAATGGCTAATTTCTTATGGGGTGATAAAGAGGGAAAGAGGAGAATCCATTGGGTAAACTGGAGCACGGTTTGTAAGCCTCTTAATTATGGTGGTCTTGGTGTTCTAGATTTGAATCTCACCAATCGGGCACTTCTGGGAAAGTGGGTGTGGAAATTTGCCAATGATAAGAGCTCCCTATGGAAATGTGTGTTGAGCAGCAAACACAAGGTTAGTTGTAAGTCAATATCTATTAGGGAGGTTTCTCATCCACAATCTTCTTGGATTTTGAGAGGTATTGCTAATAAATACTTGAAGAATGATTAGGAAGGAATTAGTCTGAGATCAAATTCGAAACTGATAGTGGGAAATGGAGAATCCATCTTTTTTTGGAATGATATTTGGGCCGATGAGAGTCCTCTCAAATTTCTTTTTCCTAGAATTTTTGTTCTCTCTCCTAATAAAGAGGGGAAGATTGCAGAGTTTGGTAGTTTTGAATCAAGCGGTTGGGTGTGGAATGTTCAAACTAGAAGGAGCTTAAGTGATTGGGAGCTGGCTTAATGGATGGATATGATGTCTAAACTAAAGGACATTCAACTTTCAGAGTTGGTGAATGATTTTCTGTCGTGGACTGCAAGTAGAGATGGTGTGTTTTTGACAAAATCATGCAGAAGTTCTCTTGGCCCTGTGTTAGGGAGTACTAATTTGTGGTCAAAAGGGGTTTGGCTGAGATTTGCTCCACCTAGGGTAGAAGCTTTCCTCTGGCAGCTTGCTCACCAGAAAGTAGCAGTCAAAGCTGAGCTGGTTAAGAGAGGTCTACCACTCGGAGATGACATTCTTTGTCCTTTATGTAAGGAAAAGGAGGAATCAATGCAACATTTATTTATTTCGTGCGTTGTTGTTTGGGAATTATGAAATAAATTAGCTAGTTTTTGGGATGTATCGTTGGTTTTACCACAAGACCCTCATTCTATTCTTATTTCCTAGGGTGAGTTGAGGGTGAACTCGACTATTTGGAAATTTATTCCGGGAGTCATCTTTTGGTCTATTTGGAAAGTTAGGAATGCTGTGGTTTTTTAAGGTTCTCCTCTTGACAGATTGTCTTTGTTTTTCATTGTTAGATTCAGGCTATCTAATTGGTTTCTAGCCAAATTCCCTAAGATTTCCATTCATGAGGATGTGCTGATTGGTAATCCATCTCTGACAGATGGAGTTATACCTTCTAAAAACAAAGTTTGTGATGTTTTTAGATGGATTCCCCTCTGGTCGATTTCCTTAAATTGAATGTCGATGGAGCTGTCAGATTAGATGGTTCGGGTGGAGGAATTAGAGGTATTTTAAGAGATTGGAATGGTTGTACCCTTTTGACTTTTTCAGAGAATGTTGGCATAGGAACTCCTCCACTTGCTGAATTAAAGGCTATTAAAAGAGGCATTGAAATATTTTTGTCATCTAGTTGGGAATTTATTGGTAGGTTGATCGTTGAAAGTGATTGCTCATCTGTAGTGGAGTGGATTCAGTCCCCGGTTTTGGCTCCTGTCTTCTTCTCTCCTCTAGTTTATCAGATTTCGACTCTTATCACTGGCAAGGTTCATTCGGTGAGGTTGATTCCAAGGTCGTGCAATGAGGAGGCGGACAATCTAGCTAAGAAAGGGATATGTTGATTGTAAAGTTTATAATGTGGTTTTTATGTTTTCAGTGAGTAGTTTGTTTCTGCCAGGAGGAGTGGCTTTGTTTTATGGATAGTTTTGTAGTGTAATTGTTAAATCTTATGTAAATGTTCTCATTTAATAAAAGTTCTAAGGCACTATTTTCCTCCTTCCGCTGATTAAGGAGTTTTATTTCAAGCTCCTTTAATCAAGAGGGGGGGTTTAACGAGGCCTACCATTCTTAAAAAAAGGCTAGCTACAAGGATGACTACCGTAGAAGAACTTCAGATAGGCAAAACCGTCACCCTGAGCAACGGGAATGGAAGAGGCGCATTCTGAGTTCAGTTGAGAGACTAAAGAATACATTTTGTCAATAGCATGCCCTAGATCTCATTTTCACAGAAGAAGGCGATAGCCATCTTACTGCTGAAATGTACATTAATATGGATGATTCTGCAGATGAGGTGGAATGGTTTCCATCTCCAATATTTCAGGTAATTTTATCATTCTTTTCCATTTTGTTATATTTTAGTATCCTTTCATATGGTTCTATTGGATAACAAAGCTATGAGTTAATTATTAAGACATTGGTGCTTAGAGTCTCTTGCTTTGTACACTCATTGCATATTCATCAAATCTTGTCGTGATGCAGGAACTTTTTGCAAAACTAAACAGGATGACTAGCCTGACAGCAGATATGTTTGTAGGAATGGAAAGATTTGCCACATTACTATTGATGCGACTTATATAAATTGTTATCATATGGCTTTCAGAAGATCAAAGCTTCTGGAATGATATTGAGGAAGGACCGAGGCCTTTAGGTCCATTAGGTTTACAACAGGCATGCAAACTTAGTATCATTCTTTTTATGTTTATAAATCTGTGTAGGATTCTTGAAATTGACCTATTTCTTGTACATGTGCATCTTTATCTAGATATAAAATTTGTCATATGCTTTGCTTCCCAAGGTCGATACCTATAAAGAAATCTTCATAGAGTTGTCAATGAAATAATTGCTAAAGCCATGGCTGCATTTTCTGCTACAGGAATGGATCCATATAGGTATGCTATGATGCTTATTATTATTAGTCTCCCCAACTATGCCTGTTCATTCTAAATGGATGTATACTATTGGTACAACCAATTCCATAATGCATAGATTGCACATCATTTCAAGAACTTAATTTTTTTAAACATCAATAGCGTAAAATATTTTTGACTTATGGCGTGTAGAGCGAGAGTGAGAGAGGAGCGGAATCGTTTTGTGTCTCTTGATGGAGATAGAGTGGTGTCTGGAGGTGGATCGTGGGTTGCATTCGTTGACAATCTTAGTAGGAGAGTGCATAGAAGTGTATTATGGGATCGTTTTAGCCTCTATAGTAAGGTGATTAAAGTTTTTATTCCGTTTGTTAATAGAAGACCTCATTATAAGGACAAGACGTTTGCCTTTGTACACTTTGCGAGTAAAGAGGATTTGATTAAGGCTAAAGAGAAGATGAACAACGTCCTAGTTGATGGGAGGAGAATATTGGTGTCATATGCGAAATATCAGAGGAGTAGTTTTCCGAGGAACTTGAAGCACAATAGTGTCGCAGAGGCTGCAGGTGTAGAGATATCGAAAAGGAAAAATGCATCTAGCCAAGTGGTTGAGGCAAGGAAGAAGGAGATGATGAACAGGTTCCATGATGGAGAACATATAAGGATACGGTAGTAGGTTTGAAAAAATTTGAGGGTCAGCAATCCAGAAACCTTGGTGATAAGAGAGAGGAGAAGAAGCCTTTGGATATCTTTATTCCAATGGAGGAAAGATCATGGATGAGGTATTCTTTAACAGGTATCGTTAAAGCGATATTTAAGGTTGAATTTGTGCAAAGGGTATTGAGAACTGAAGGAATCAATGTTAAGGTAATTAGATGGGGATATGCGAAAAATGCATGTTTGATAGTATTCCATTCTGTGGAGGAGAAAGAAGCAGCATTGGAAGAAAAGTGGGAGGCTTTGTCTTTTTAGTTTGAACGGTTGGAGTCTGTGATAGAAGAAAGGGGTGTTCCATTACCTTATTGTACAATATCCATGATGGGTGTTCCATTAAACTGTTGGTCAGTTCCATTTTTTATCAGTTTGGCTTCGAGATGGGGCAAATTAGTGAAGATTCAAGAGCAGATAGCTCAAAGAGTTGATTGTAGGGTGGCTCAGATGTTATTAAGGGTTGAAAGTCCGTTTGACATCCCTCCACATGTCATCATTAATACTTATGGAAGGTCCTTTACTATTAAGATTAAGGTAGACAACATCGATGATTTCTTCCTTGAGCTTGAAGTTAGGGTTGGTGATGATGGGGTTGATGAAGATGGTTCTGAAGGAGGATCAGTGGATCATTGGGAGGAGGTTTCTTCAGATGGGAGCAAAGGTAAGGATCGAGGAGGTCTGCAAGGGCAGTTGAATTTCCATCAGTTGTCATACTCTAGGAACAGGGCAGAAGAGTGGGTTCGAGGTACCTCACAGGGAGGTGGTTCAATGAACGAGGGTAATTTGAAGAAAAAAAAGCTGAAGCCAGTGACATTTTTAATGTTGACCTTTGTACCGAGGGGACAATACTAGGTGTAGGTCTCAGTAAGCAGATTATGTCAGGGGCCTTTTCTGACGGGAGGAAAAATGTGGCCAGCTTAGAAGGAGTTACCTTGGGGAAAGATAAAGTGGCTCTAGTTGATGGGCTGATTTCCAGCAACGGAAGGATGGAGGTATATGGGCCTGAGCAGGTTAGTCCAACAGTAAACAAAAATGGGAATAAAAATGAAGCTTTTGGATCAGCTACACAGGTTGAAAATGGTATGCAGTATGGGTTTGTATCATTGTCCCAGCGGCATCCTTCTGGAAGAGTGCGTCGGTTAGTAATGTTGAAAGAGGCTTTCATAACAGAGTTTATATTAGGAGGTGGGATGCTAAAAGTTGTGGTGGAAGGACGATGTTATGGGATCAGGAGATGAGAAACAGGGGAGGACAGAAGCAATGGAGTGTTGGAAAGTATCAAATTTGTTGGGGGTAAAGTTTAAAGGAGGAGAAAAAGAATTTGTGACCAAAGTTTCTCCTTTGGTGAAGGATAGAGATGATTGAGGGGCGGTAGTTGGTTCAGAGGTTAAGGTCATAAAATGAATTTGATGATAGAATGGTCCATTATGTGTTGGAATGTTAGGGGTCTGGGTAGGAAGGTTAAAGCTAGAGCTATTCGGAGATTTGTTGAGGAGAAAAACCCGACTATCTTATTTCTTCAAGAATCCAAATTAGAAGTTGTTAGTACTATGTTAGGAAGGAAAATGGGGGGGAAAATCCTTAATGGTTTGGCTGTCGTGCCTGCTTTAGGTTCGGCTGGAGGACTAATAATAATGTGGAATCAGAAGGTATTTGTAGTTAAGGAAAAGGTCATCCATACTAGATTTGTCACATTAAAGGGATGGATGGATGGTATACCAAACATTTGTTGTTTCATAAATGTCTATGGTCCAAGTGTGGAAGCTGATAAAGAGCCGTTTTTCAGAGAGTTAACTTCGTTTCTGGAACAGGTAGACTGTCCAGTGTGCTTAGGTGGAGATTTCAATGCCCTTTTGACTCATGAAGAGAAAATGGGTGGTGAGGTGAATGTGGTTTCGATGAATAATTTTCGAGATTTTGTTTCTAAGGCAAATTTAATTGATTTGCCTTTAGTGGGGGGTCAGTTCACGTGGTGTAATAATAGGGAAACTCCCACTTTTGAGAGATTGGATCGGTTTTTAGTTGATCATATTTTTTTCTCGCAATTCCCAAAGATCAGCCAAACTTTGCAGCCTCGGTCCATTTTTTATCACAACATTATTCTGCTGGAGAATAGGGAATGTAATTGGGGGCCAAAGCCGTTTAGACTGTTTAATTATATGTTGGAGGAGGAAGGGTTTAACGAATTGTTGACAAATGAGCTGAGCAAATTGGGTGTATAGGAAAAATTTATGTCCATCTCCAAAATACTTAACCGGGTGAAGGATGTGGTAAAAAACTGGTTTGGTAAAGATTATCTTCAATTACCAGGAAAAATCAGAACGTTGGAGTCTGCGATCCAGGATATGGAATTGAAACTGCAACAAGGGTCTTCCTTGGTTTCAATGAATTCTATTGTTGAAGCAAAGAGAGATTTATGGGAGTTACAAAAGAAGAAAGAATCAATCTGGGTGCAAAAGTCTAGATTGAAATGGAGACTGGAGGGTGATAAGAACACAAGGTTTTTTCATAATAGTGCAGCAATTAGAGGGAGGGTAAACTGCATTAAAGCCCTCAAAGTTGATGGGGAAGTTATAGAAGATCCTAGGTCAGTTAAAGCTTCAGTTATGGAGTTCTTCAAGAGGTTGTATAATCAAAAAAACACCCTGGAGGCAGAGAAATTAAATCTGGACTTTCTTAGGCTCTCGGAAGGTCAGTGTTTAGCATTGGAGAAGCCTTTTTCTGAAGAGGAAGTTTGGGAAGCTATTGTTCATTCAGATATCAACAAAGCTCTGGGTTCGGATGGTCTGAACTTAGGGTTTTTTAAGAAGTTCTAGAATATTTTGAAGGATAATATGATGCGGTTTTTTAGGGATTTCTATGTGGGGAAGGAGTGGGAGCCGGAGGTGAATTTTTCCTTCATTTCTCTTATCCCAAAGAAGGCAAATCCGGAGGAGTTGGAAGACTTTAGGCCAATTAGCCTAGTGGGAGGTCTATATAAAGTTATTTCTAAGGTCTTAGCTAGAAGGCTGAGTTTTTGTATTAATGATATTATGAGTCCGTCCCAATTTGCTTTTATTCCAGGGAGGAACATCTTGGACTGCTCTTTTATTGCAAATGAGAGCATTGATTTTTGGAGAAAGAGAGGGCTGAAGGGAGCAGTCTTCAAGGTGGATTTTAAGATAGCGTATGACTCGGTGGATTAGAAAATCCTGATACAAATAATGAGCAAAATGGGGTTTGGTGATAAGTGGAGGGAGTGGATGTATCAATGCATGTCAACTGCTGAGATTTCGGTTTTAGTAAATGGGTCTCCTACGGAGAAATTTCATTCATCCAGGGGTCTGAGACAAGGATGTTCGCTTTCACCTATGCTTTTCAACTTGGTTGCTGAGTTGCTGCATTTGTTGTTAACTAAAGCAGTGGATTTGGGATTGTTTTTGGGGTTTGATTTAGGAGTGCATGATAGAGCATTCAAACTATCACATCTTCAATTTGCGGATGATCTTATAATTTTCAGTAAAGGCTCTATTCATGAGTTGAGGAATGTTAGAAGAGTGTTACTCATTTATGAGCTTCTGGTGGGGTTAAAGTTAAATATAGGCAGAAGCAGGATTTTTGGAGTAAATGTTGAAGATGGGGAGTTAGCTACTTAGGCAGACGTTATTGGCTGCTCGGCTGGATATCTTCCATCGGAATATTTAGTATTGCCTTTGGGGTACAAGAGGAATTCGGCTGCTATGTGGGATCCTATAGTGGCGAGATTTCATGCTAAATTGAATGGCTGGATAGATAAATCGTTGTCGATAACGGGAAGGGTGGTATTGGTCAAATTGGTGCTTTGCTCTCTACCGATCTATTTTCTGTCTATGTTCAGGATTCCAGTTGATGTGCTACTTAAACTTAACTCTATCATGGCTTCATTTCTGTGGGGGGGTCGATGGACAAGGAAAAAATCCATTGGGTCAACTGGAAGTCGGTTACTAAACCAAAGAAATTGGGGGGTCTAGGGGTCCCTAATCTAGCACTAGTGAACCGAGCCTTACTAGGGAAATGGGTATGGAAGTTTACTTCTAAAAAAAAGTCTTGGTGGAAGAGAGTATTTTGTGTTGTTTACAATCTGGATCTGAATTCCATTATTATGGGGAATTCGTGGTCAGTTCGTGCATCGTGGATTTGGAAAGGTGTGGTGAAAAACTTCTTCAACAGTGATGATTTTGGAGATTGTCTTAGAAGGAATATGCGTTTGAAGGCTGGAAATGGGGAAGCTGTGGAGTTTTGGAATGATGTATGGTTGGGTGATGTTCCCTTGAAAATTTTGTTTCCTAGACTTTATGTCTTATCAAATAATAGAGCGGGCAAAGTGATGGAGTTTATGGTGAAGAATGCCTCGGGTTGGGTGTGGGACATCCAAATAAGAAGGAACTTGGCTGATTGGGAAATTGAACAGTGGCTGCAGTTGATCACTATGTTGAATAATACCTCCCTTTTTCCTACTGAAGATGATTGTTGGATTTGGTTAGGGAATGGGGAAAGAACTTTCACAGCAAAGTCTTGTATAAAATCGTTCTTTGACCAAGGTCGTTTTGAGCAGAATCATGTGAATTGGGAAAAGAATATTTGGAAAGGTTTAGCTCCTCCAAGGGTGGAAATGTTCGTTTGGCAATTAGTGCTGCAAAGAGTACCGGTTAAAGAGGAGTTAGCTAAGAGAGGTGTTACAGAGATTGTTGATCAGCTTTGTGTTTTGTGTGGTCGGGAGGTGGAATCAGTTTCCCATTTATTTCTGCATTGCAGGGTTGCGTGGGGTCTGTGGTATTCCTTCTTGAAAATGTGGAATGTGTCGTTGGTGATTCCAAAGTGTACCATGGACTTTATAATTTTGTGGGATGATTTTATGACTAACTCTTTGATTTGGAAATTCATTCCTAGAGCAGTGATGTGGTCGGTCTGAAAATGTAGAAATGAGATTATCTTTCAGAAAGGAAAGCTGGATTTGGTCAGATTATCCTTCATTGTTAGATTTAGAGTGGCTTCCTGGTTTAGTGCTCGTTTCAAGGATGTGGGTATTCCTTTAGATTCTCTTGTAGGTGATTTGAAACTTGTAGATTCGGCAGGCAGATCAGGAAAGGGTTGCTATCAATCAGTTTGTTGGGTTCCTCCACCGGATGGGTTTCTAAAGTTAAATGTTGATGGAGCGATGGTTTCGGGGTGGGAAAAAGGAGGTATTGGTGGTCTGGTTCGGGATAGCAGTGGACTATTGCTACAGTGGTTCTCTGAATTAATAGGGGGGTGGTCCTCCTATCTTGGCAGAGTTGTTGGCAATTAAAAGAGGGATTTGTCTTATGGAGGAGTTGGATTTTGTCTCAAATCAGAGATTTATCGTGGAATCAGACTCATCTAACGCTCTGAAGTGGATCCAGAATCCGAGTTTAAGCCCCCCTATGCATCTATCCTTGGTGAAGGATATAGTTTCGAGTTGACCGGAAAAGATATTATATTTAGGCATATTTTGAGGGCGGCAAACTGGGAAGCTGACAAGCTAGCTAAAGATGGGATAGGGTGATTTTTGGGTTATATGATCGTGCTGATTAGTAGGAATTGTATTTTTCTGTTTGTTAGGTGGTTTGTTTTAAGTCTTATGTTCTTTAGTTGAAAGTTTAGGAGTTTGTTCAGTCTTTGTAATTTGGCTCTTGTGAATAAAAGTTTCATGGCACTCTTTTCATCATTCTTTGTTCCGTCATGTTACCTTCATAACATGGCAGGGCTTGAAGGAGGTTTTAATGAGGCCTACATTCTATCAAAAAAATAATGCATAGATTGCTTAATTTAGATCATTTTTTCCGTGGGGGAGTTATCACAGATGTGAGAAAGAGTGGGAATAGTAGTACTGACTTCCAAGTTTCTTATCACAATAGGTTTGCACCAATATCTGCATTATGCCTTTATCACTATTGCACCAAGAATTTTCCTACTAGGGAGATGGTGTAATCGATATCACTGACCTTATAACTTCTGATTTATAGAGAGTAAGAGTGAGCTTTAATGAGTTGCATCTGGGTTATAAGTGTTTTTAGATGGAGAAATGTTTGGTTTTGTTGAATATCTTTTTGTTTAGCAGTGTTCGATTAAACAGGAAGATTGGTATTGGCCATTTTGAAAAATTGTTGGGTGCATGTATATGGAAATTCTCACGAGTTGCCATTGAAGCATTTTTGTTTTTGTTCCGTCAGCGTGCTTCCTGATGATGACTGGTTCAACGACATATGTCAAGATGCAATAGAAAGATTAAGCGGGAAACCAAAAGCAGATCGGGATCTGAACAGCCCCACCGCCTCTGTTTCAGCACAATCAATTTCGTCCGTTAGATCGCATGGGAGTTCCTAGGTTGCCTTTTTTTTTACCCTTGTATATCTGATAGCTAACACATTTTAGCAATGACTATGGATTTCTCTACTCTATTCATAGCGAATCATTCTTTTTAAATTAATTCTGCTGTTGAATGAAGTATAGAGCACTACATTTCTTTGGGTTGATGCCTACATGGTCGGTCCATTTAATCTGTCAATTATTTGGTTGGCTTGGCTGCAGTTGTGTTGATGTATTTTGGAGGAATTTATTCAAGCATCACGTTTTAATCTTGACCACTGAATGGAGCAATGGAAGAACTGATCAATATCACTAGCAAATAAAAAAAAAATTATGACCAGTTTATACTGCTAAACTATTTCTTCATGTACAGTTTGTTCATTATCTCAAAAAAGACCAGTAATCGTACAAACTTTGATCCATCACCAACTAAAATTGAAAACTAAAAACAAATAGCCTATAAGTATCTGAATAGCAAAACCAGCAGCAGGCTTACAGCCATCCATCTCAAAAGCTACCATTTCAATCGCTTTCTCTCCTTGGTTATCCTCATGCCAACGTACCTGCGAGCACAAAGTAAAGCATATTAGGTTAGTTGTTCCGTTTTTACTGGGAAACAACCAGAGTTCACAATCAAACACTGACCTCCCAAGCATCATCACTGTTGCCTGAGGGTTGGTTCCCGGAGATACAGTAAACGTTGACCCGTCGACTACTCTGAGTGCATCGATTCCAGTGACATGATAATTTTGATCAACCACTCTCCCCACAACACACCCACCATGGTAATGCCATATGGTGCTCACGGTACGCCGGCAAAAATCAGCCATCATTTCGTAGTTTGATTGGTCAGCAGGCAATGAAGGTCCTACAAACCTGAAATTTCTGCCCCCAGACCATTCAGTGAACTTAAAATCATCCATGGATCGACTCCTCAAGATATCCCCGATCTTGCGTGTACCATTCACACATCTCTCCAAGTCTATAGGATTGCTAAAGTAGTTAAAGCGAATTATAGGGTTCACCCTGACATCGGTTGAGGCCAACCTTAATGAACCGATTGAGATAGGCCCGACAATCTTCTCCATGATGGTAGCCACTGTTAAAAGCAGAGGGGAGGAAGGTGGTCTGACAAACACTGACCGTGAAGGAGTCGTAAAAGGAATAACATTTGAAGCAGCCTCCAAATAAGCCCCCATTTCGGTTATCCCGGCAACTTGTATAAGTGAGTACTCTAATGGTATCGGAGGCAAAATCGAGATGCCATTCCTCGGATTATCGTAGACGAATTGACCTACGTTTGGATGGTGATACACAACCGGAATTCCCCAAGAAGACAAGTAAGGCCTAGGACCAATTCCACTCAGCAGCAATAATTGTGGGCTTCCAATAGCTCCAGCACATAGTATCACCTCACCTTTCTCCTTCACCATAGCGTGGTGATACCTTCCCATTTCATCGCGAAACACAATCCCGATCGCCGACTGCCGAGACATCACATTTGAAGAAGAAGAAGCCAGTAATACCCTTTCCACACTTGCATAAGTTGCTACTTTAATATTCTCTGGTTTTGCATAATTCAGAAGATCAGCGGCGCTGTGCCTCTTGCCCGAGCTATCGAAAGTGGAGCCACCGATCTTTGTTCCAACCAAATGTTCCAAACTAAACCCATGGTAAGGATCGATCCCTGCCTCAAGCAAAGCGTCCCTAACAGCTGACTGCCAGTTCCTTAACTCGGGCCTAAAAACAACTCCCTTCTCGACCCAATCATAAGATTGGTTAACCAAACTGAGATCCCAATCTACACCCGAACTCTCATAAAACTCTGGATCAGCTCGGCTATAGAAACCGGCATTGATGGCACTGCTGCCGCCAAGAACCCGTCCTCGGGCATTTAAAACGCCGTCCTCGGAAGTAAAGGTTTGAGCAGGAGAGTCGTAGGTGTCGACCTCGGTGAGTGCGGTCAAGAACCCTTCTTGATTCATCAAATTTTGGTTACCATAGGGAACGCCTCCTCTTTCTAGAACAAGAACCCGAAACGTCTGTGACAAGGTAGCGGCTAATGGACAACCTGCGGTTCCTCCTCCCACGACGATGTAGTCATAGTAGTCCTCTGTTGGAAAATACGTCGCATTCAACGCGAAGTTCAAGTAAAGCGGGTCTGCCCCAAAAACACCCAATATGAGTTGGCATTTCGAAACAAAAATGACCCACTAAACCTTTCTTGCATCTTGTTAGTTCCTCCAAGCAAAAAAATAGCTAAAACATCGAAAACCGGAATTCAAAGAAAGCAGAGATACCAAACGGAAACAGAGGGAACTTAAATGAATTGAACTGTACTGAGTACTGACCTCCTTGAGGAAGTGGTCTTGCGAGAGGAGGTGCAGAAAACAGAAACAAGATGGCAGTGCATTGAAAGCGAAAAACCAAGGCTCTCTGCATTTCTGTTTAGTTTTTTTCTTGGAGGAGTGAGAAAATTATCTTGGCGTTTACCTGAAGGACTTAGAAAAAGAGAGTAAGAACGAAAATTTCAGTTACATATTCAGTTGAATATCGTTATTGATTGTAAAAGGGTCCCACAAGAATCCAAGAGTGGACAATTGGTTGATCTCCGGTATATTTTAATCAACTGTCAATAACTTTTAAACAGTTTTTTTTATATATATATTTCCATTTTTCTTTTATCAAATTATTGCTAAAAGAAATGTGCAGATCTTATACCAGAGTACGAGTAAGGACCACGGCGTTTATCAAAAAAAAAAAAATAATCACATTTTTCATTTAATATTTTCGATCAGGCATCGTTAAGACTATATTTCTCGATCTAACATCTTTTACAGAAAGTTGCACCCCTACAACGCGTTTAACGCTAATTTGGAGTCACGTAGGGTAAAACACGCCCTGTGAGGAGTGCCTTATGCTAACATTAGATACACATGTGTATGGCGCGGCCCCTGTGGCGCGCCTTAGGCCACGTAGGGTATAGCACGAAACAAAGGCTGCGCCTTAACTGTGAATCTGACACAATTATATTCGGTGCGGTCCTGGGGCCGCGTCTTAGCTTTATCTGATATAATTATGCAAGGCGCGGTACAGGTACCGCCTCTTGTATAATTATAATAATTTTTCTCGGCTATAAATACCCTTTCTCCCGGAACTCCTCACATCTCCTCTCAACAAAAAAAAATTAATACAACAATCTGACAATCTTCTCATATTTAATTCAGAAGTTCGTTCGATTTTTCGTTATAATGAAATTTTGTTATAATTTTTTTTATTATACTTATTGTTTATTATGATTATATGAAAAAATATTATACTAAATTAATAGAAGCATACGTCGAAATAGTTTTGCGGTGCATGTAATAATATAAAATTATATTATTTAAATTATTTACGTTTATGTGTAAAAAATTTATTGTGTTATATTTTCGTTCATATATTATTTATTTAATCAGGTTTGTTTCTGTTGTTTTTTTGCAGATATAATATTGCCACACTTTTAAATTTAAAGAATGGCGCGACTTTCAGCTATTGTTTATTATGATGGTGAAATTCGAGAAGATGAAACCGGCGTTGTTTTCGTATCAAATGAGCGTGTTAAAATATCATTAAAGAGAAACATAACTCTTGAGGAGCTGATAACGAAGATTTCAAGGAAGATTCATGTTGGAAGTAGTAGAAGAATGTCGTCGTTGCAGTAGAGATTTCCAACATCATTGTTGACATTAACTTATACAACGTTCAAACTTTCGAACAATGATGATGTTGAAATGATGGTTGAAGCTTAAAGTAATTTTTCAAACGCCGATATTGAGATGTATGTAAATTTTGTTCAAGTGCGTGTTGTTCGGGGTCAATCATTAAGCTCCCACTATGGGCTGGCTGAACAAGTTGACAGCCCGACGACAGTAATGTGTAATGATTTTAATGCCATAATGGGGGAGACATTCATCCACAACTCCTTACGATATGTACCGAGGTGGGTCGACGAACAATCTGTATGGAAAAATCGCGTCCAGTTCAAGGGGAAGACATTCATCTGCAAATCCCTTTGACCTTAATATGGTGAGGCCATCAACGCAACAATCTGTGCAGTTTCCATTTGACATGATGGCTTCAAGCTCTAGGGGGAGGCATTCGACTGCGAGCTTTTTCGATCTCAATGTCGATATGCCTTCCAGTTCAAGGGGAAGGCGTGCAAGTAGTAGGTTCTTCGACCTAAATGTGGAGAGCATGGAGGAACCATCATCTCCACCAGAAGAACCGCTTTGTGAGCTTGGTGTGGATGGTGCTGAGACTGGACTATTCATTCACCCAGAATCACCGCAATTCAACTCCGATGATGTAGATGAAGTTCCAGGAAATGTGACACAAATTGACCCTCCAACACACATGTATGAAGCTGATTATGGTGCAATATATGGGCCAGAATTTGCGGATATGCCTCATCTCGGTGACTATGGATATTACTCATCAATAAATAATGATAAGTTATATTGGCAAAACAAAATGCCATTGTCGAACTTCATGGCGAATGGGATGCATCTTACAACGAACTTCCAAGTTGGTTTAGGTTGGTGCGGAGGTTGAATCTTGGGACAATTGTGGACTTCAAAACCTCCTATGCATACTATAATGATCGAGTTCTTCGCGATCAATGCCAATTCTATCCGATTTTTTGGACTTACCCACAGTGCGTTAATTCTGTCGAATACTGCAAGCCTATGGTCCAGATCGACGAGACTTTTTTGTATGGAAAATACAAGCAAGTTTTATTATTGGCAGTTGTCCATTATGGCAATCACAACATTCTTTCAGTTGCTTTTGCTCTTGTCGAAGGAGAAGATACAGATTCTTGGGATTTTTTTCTCCGAAATTTACATGCACATGTTATCACGAGGGAAAACATCTGTGTCATTTCAGATCGTGGAGCTGGGATCAAAGCAGCAATAGAATCTTTGGGTCCAATGTGGCAACCACTCTTTGTCCAACATAGGTATTGTCTCCGACACATTGCTACGAACTATCATGGAAGGTACAAGAAGAATGATGAGCGTCAATTAATTGTGTGCATGGATAAGTGAAACTGATGTAGTTTGTTTTCTTTCGATCATTTTAATTTTGCAAAGAAAGCAAGTTAGTAAGTTATACATTTGTTTATCAGGTTACGAACTACTTCCTCGAATGTTTGAATCAATGCTTCAAGATTTGCGGGCGAAGAACGAGGAATGATACGATTACATCAGCCTCATCGATAAAGAAATATATACGAACGCATATGATGGTGGATATCGATATAGACACATGACGACCAACTTGGCAGAGGCAATAAATTCAACCTTAAAGGGTGAACGTCACTTACCAGTAGTGGCTTTGGTAAAGACTATATATTTTCTTTTGGGGGCGTTTTTTGTGAAGCTCGGGGGACAAGCTCAAACCTGGATGCAAGGCGGTCATGTCTATCACCCTAGATTAATTGCAGATCTACAGAAAAAAATTTATGCATCAAATGGAATGTCTGTAACAAGCTTCTCTAGAAGGAATGAAATGTTTCGTGTCACAGAGTTGTCGCGACCTCTTCAAGGGATTGAAGTTGTGTCGTTAAGAGTAAATCTAAGGGACATAACATGCGACTGCGGGCTTTTTCAAGCTCTGAAGTATTCGTGCTCTCATGTGATAGCAGCTTGCTCACATACACGTCAAGACTATAACCATTTTGTGGATCCCGTATACCTATTATCTGAAGTTTTTAAGGTATACAAATTTGAGTCCCCCCCATAGGTAATGACAAAGACCCTGATGAGGTTCAAGATTGGCTTTCGATTGTACCAAATCCGAGTTTATTGAGGGAGCGTGGTCGTCCAAAATCCAATCGAATTCACTGCGATATGGATATTCGAGAAAGATCTAGACAAGACAAAAGATGTGGGCATTGTAAAAACCCAAGACACACTAGAAAAACATGTTCACTTCTGTTGTCATCAAGTAACAATTGATGAGGAAATGATGTAGTTGTTTATCAAATAATAATTATTGTACTTTAATTTTCATTTACTTCAAGTTAATGTTATTCGATAATCACTGATGAAGATTAAAAAAATGATACAATTATACGAGATTGGACGTTGGCATTATATTAACGAATAATTGATATTAACGATACAATAAGTATTAAATGGTAAATGATAACCAAATTACAATAACTTATATTAAATGGTACTAAACAAAATTAAGCAAAATAAATTAACAAAAAGTCCAACAAATTTAACAAAATAAATTAAAATCAATCCAACCATATTAACGAATTAAAGTAAGTATTAAATGATAAATAATAAAAAAATTACAATAAAAAGTCCAATAAACAACTATAATAAAAAAAAGTATTAAATACAAATATAATAAAAAACAAAATCTATCGATGTCTGCGACGCGAATGTGTTCCGCAGGGCGGTGGCTGTCAGTCTCGAGGAGGATTTCTTCGTATCATTGGTTGTGACTCCTCGCTGTCATCATCATCGCCATCATCGTTGTTGTCCTGAGCAGCTACATTTTGTTGATGAGGAGCTGATGACGATGAAGCACCTCCATAGAATAAGGACCCTCGAGGTATATGACTGACTATCCCACCGGCCTACGAAAACTGGGAAAACTCATAAAACCCATACATCGCTGAGTGTGAAAACTGTACAGGAGGTGTCTGTGCTGCGACCATGGGTGATAAGGCTGAACCTGCCAAATATCCAGCAAATGAACCCCAAGTCAGATATACAAACATAGACCCATAATAGACTCCAGGAGGGGTCATAAAACCAGATGAAGGCGATGGCGGTGACATCATATATGGCTGCGGTATGTAAGTCGATGGATACGGTGGCTGCTGTGAAGATCCTGCTAGTGCAACTGAGGATGAACCAGAAGTACCTGCTCCGTCCACGAGTCGGGGGACGACGGTGATGTGTCGGAGAACGTCTCTGTCGACGTAGTGGAAAGGTCTGCCCTCGTGTATCCTTGGGAAGCAGAAACGGTTTCACGTTACTGTTGAACCATTCATAATAACCGTCAGTAACCATCAAGAGGTCAAGTAAAATGGGCTCTCTACGGGGAATGCACCGATGTCGATCCTCCCATAACATGACCCACTCATGATGCCTCACCAGTCAATCTGTATATGTCTTGTCGCGTTTATATGTGCTATGCAACTCGTCCATATTACGAGGTACTTCCGGAATTGGTTGAAAACAACCAAATTGCCAGAGTACGCGATCAGTGGAGTGCCACTCGACGGTCGCATAACAGATTAAAGGGACCATCACCATCCAAACATCTGATGGGCCCCTCAACTCAGGTGTGATCACCGTCTTCAAATCATTAGTAGAATATGTCACCCATTTAAACTAAAACATATATATATAATTTTTATCAAAATAATAATCTAGTTG